CTGGGGGTGCAGGGGGGGGGGGGGGGCAGTTAGTGCAGGGAGATCTCAACGCCTGGGCAGCAGCGCCTGGCTGGGCTCCATCTCCCACCCACAAACCCCAGCCGGGTCAGCTCCATTCCCTACCCTCAGACAGGATCAGCTGAGGGGGCGGCAGGAGTTTCCCCCTCCCCCACTCACCGAATTCCCAGCGGGGCGCCACTCACTTGAGAGACAAGTCGGCGTAGATGGGCGCAAAGGACTGGCACTCGTTGGACCAGTTGGCAAAGAACTCTATGATCCAGGTCACCCGCCTGTCCCGCTCCAACTCCTCCTGCGGCACAGGGAGAGGGGACCCACTTAAGAACATAAGAATGGCCGTACTGGGTCAGACCAAAGATCCATCTAGCCCAGTATCCTGTCTGCCGACAGTGGCCAGCACCAGGTGCCCCAGAGGGGGTGGACCGAAGACAATGATCAAGCGATTTGTCTCCTGCCATTCTTCTCCAGCCTCTGACAAAGAGACCAGGGACACCATTTCTCTTCCCTGGGTAATAGTCTTTTATGGACCTAACCTCCATGAAATTATCTAGCTTCTCTTTAAACTCTATTATAGTCCTAGCCTTCACAGCCTCCTCTGGCAAGGAGTTCCACAGGTTGACACAAAAATGATTCATACAAGGAATGTAAAAAACTCTTGGATTTGTTCCTTTAGTGTAAGTAACTCTGTAGTCTCACCAGTTTATAGAAGTGTGGGAGCAGAACTGGGGACACAAGAGGGATACTTGGAAGGCTTCTCTTTAATAATTACTTGGGGCCTGAGTCCAGTCTTCTCCCAATTTTCCAGCAGAATAATTCCAATGACTTCAGACAAGTGGCCCCTGATTTACATAGGTTGGTGGTCAGATCAGAGTTGGGGCCTTGTGTCCATTGAATTTCCTCACCCTCCTACACAGCTAACCAGAGGATGCTGAGGCAATGCTAAGGAGGCTCAAGGAGAAGATCTTCACGAGGGCTGAGAACTTATGATGCTTCAGTCCCATCCACTGATGTGCAAGAGCCTCCGGGCATGTTGCCCATGTTAACAGCGGAGCTATTACACTGGAGATAGTTGCTTCGCTCCTTATGCCAGCTGGGGTTTCTGTTAATGTTGGGCTTGAGTCAGTGAAGTGCGGAGCAACCCCCTGAGAAATGAGAATCAGGAATTCTCATGAAAGCCACTGGAAGAGGAGTATACGCTACACTTCCAGGGGCTGATCAGCCCTTTGCAGGGTCCAATATGAACTGGGGAGAGGGGAAGGGGGCAAAGATGAATTGTAAAAGTTAATGATTGTGTTAAGACCCTATATCAGTTCCAATATCCCATGTGAATGACTTCCTCATTCATGTTGTTCTTTATTACTTTTATTATGGCACCTTTTACCCACATGATGACTCCACCCGCTAGGGATGGAAAATCCCACTTAATTGGATAACCAGATAAACATATTGTTTAACTTGTTAACTGCAGCAAGTGGGGGTGCTCATTGGATTGCCTCCTCTCCCCCTCCCCACCACAAGCAGGGGCTGCTCCAGCCTGGCCAGAACAGTCCCTACCCACTGCAGGCACCCAGCAGGGATGGGAGCTGCCCCACACCCCACTGGTTAACCTTCACCGGTAAACCTCACCTGTTAAGGGTGAGGCTCATTAGTTAACCAGTTAAACCTTCACATCCCTACCACTTGCCAGGGCTAGCTGCAACCTCAGGTACCAGGAGAGCCACGGCTCAGCCCTGCCAGCCCAGTGCCTCCTCCCTGGGGTCCCAGTGTGGCCTGAAGTCAGGGTAGCGATGAGCAACTTAGGGTCAAGCAGGTCCCCAAGCCACAGCAGCCCACAGTAATGTTGGCCGGGAGGGTTGAGGGGCAGGCGATACTCACATCGATGGTTTTATCGCTGAAGTACTTGATATACTCTGGTCCCAGGTACAGGGGCGGCTTGCAGGTCATCAGGAACACTGAAAGGAGACGCACACAGGCTGTGACTGGCTGCACTTTGGAGGTTTGCACACAGATTGGAGGAGAGGGGGCAGGGAGACCCAGCAGGCACAGAAGTCAGACATCTGGTTTCCAGGACTAGGTCACTTGCTCTGTGGCTTTGTGAGAGGTTTTATCCAGCTCTCCCACACTGGATTCTTGGCTCAGCAAGCGTGGGAGGAAGCAGCCGACACGATCTGGTCCCGCAGAACACTCTAAGCACGTTAGGGAAACGTGACCTACGGGAAGTTGTCAGAAGGTGGGCAAACAGCTGGTTGAAAGAGCGCACCAAGAGCGGTCGCCAATGGTTTGCGGCCCAAGGCCATAACTAGTGGGAACAGCATTCAATACCGTCACCAAAGCCTTGGACAGGGAGGAGAGCGTGTGCTTAGAAGATCTGGGGTCGAGGGGCTGCCCAGATGGTGGGAGGTTAGAACTTAAAATGAGTTTGACAGATTGGAGAACTGGTCTGACTTCAACAAGCTGAAAGCCAATGAAGACAAGCGCTAGAGGCAGGAAGGAATGAAATCGGATGCAGGGCTACCCAGTGGGGAACTGGCTAGTAGGCAGAGCTCCTAGAAAGGGTCCAGGGCTTCCTGTGGACCGCAATGGGAACAGGAGCCAACAAAGGGAAAAAGGCTAATGTGGCCCTGGGGTGCAAGTGGCTGGGGCCAGGGAATGAAGATGACAAGCAAAGAGAGGGGTGAAGCAAGAGAATGGTCTTAGCAGCAGTTTGCACCGCCCAGTTGCAGAGGCAGGGGCAGTTACCCCGCTCTGGGGCAGGGGAGCATGCACTCGGACAGTGCAGCAGGAAGGAGCTTGGGCCCTTCCTCCCCGTGAAGTGATAGGGCCCGTACCAGCCTAAAAGGGTGCTGCATTTAAAAAGCCAATTGACGGTGGAGAGTCAGCACTCAGAGCCCCAGCCCTGAAATACATAAGGAAGCTCAAAGACTGCGTCCCTAACCCAAGATGGGGCATGAGGAGTTCAGCCTGTCGTCTAGGGCAGGGGCTTTCAAACTCTGGGTCACAGCTTCTCAGGGCAAGCTGCTAGCTGGCTGAGACACATTTTTTTTAAAAATCTGCACCTCCCCAGGACAGTCCATCGCAGCTCCAGTTGGCTGGCCAATGGGAGCAGTGGGAAGCGGTGTGGACTGCAACCAATGGGAGCTGTGCGCAGGTAAACAAAGCATCATGCAGCCAACTAGTGCCAGAGTTTGAAAGCCCCTGGTCTAGGGAGGAGTCATTTTGCTGGGGGAGGGGACGACTACTTAGCACCATGGGGCACGTGAGCAAAATCCAAGCAAGCACAATGGTGTTTCAGTAAGAACCCTTTCTCCCACCCTGCGTCTGGCTGGTCTAGTTGGATGGGCAGCTCCTCAGGGCAGGGACCATTCCCCACTTTGCATGGGCTCTATGGAGCAACTGACTGGGTTGGGGTGTAGCGAGCGTACAGCACAGACTTGATTCCCTTCGGAGCCAGCCACGTGGCCCCACAGCAGCACCTCACCTATGCACAGCGTCAGGTAGAGCAGCCCCATCCGCACATCCAGCCGGAAGAAGAGGATCGCATTGGCCACTTTACTGAACATGAAGATGTTCCCCACGTGCTGATCCACGGTGACTGGGGAGAGAGGAAGTGGGGGAGGTCAACCCCAGACTAACACCCTAGTTCAGGGCAAAGCTGAGGTGCACGTGGAATAGACCAGGGCATTGCACCTCACGACCCAGCACCTTCTCCTCTCAGTCCAACACAGACTGCCCCACTTCCTGTACCTGCCCCCCGCACTGACGCTGCCATCCCAAAGTCTCTTCCTAAGAACAGCAATATTGGGTCAGGCCAAGGGCCCATCTAGCCCAGTGTCCTGTCTTCTGACAGAGGCCAATGCCAGGTGCCCCAGCAGGAGAGAGCAAAACAAGGAATCATCAAGTGATCCGTGCCCTGTCACCAATTTCCTTTGACAAACAGAGGCTAGGGGCACCATCCCTGCCCATCCTGGCTAACAGACACTGATCCACCTAACCTCCATGAGTTTATCTAGGTTTTTTTTAACCCTTTTAAAGTCCTGGTCTTCACCACACCCTCTGGCAAGGAGTTCCATAAGTTGACTGTGCCTTGTGTGAAGAAAAACTTCCTTTTGTTTGTTTTACACCTGCTACCTCTTAATTTCATTTGGTGACCCCATGTTCATGTATTACAGGAAAACGTAAATAACTCATCATGCCAGCTTTGAGGTCCAGCTGCTCTAGGACCTCCCTGATCTTGCCACATGCCTCCTCAGCCAGACCCCCTCCAGCCCTCCTCCCTACACTTCCTACGCCAGAGTCCTTCCTGGGGTCCGACACGGAGTCCAAGCGTGCCCGCCAAAGCAGCCCTTGGAATGCCGCCCCCATCTCTGCCCCCGGAACAGTCCCGCGGAGGCATGGGGGCGGGGGAACAGGACTCACTGGATCTGCGGTTCTTCATCATCACGATGGCACTA